GCGGTGGCTGCCCCCTCCCTGCAGTGTTCAAGGCCAGGTTGGACGGGGCTTGGAGCACCCTGGGCTGGTGGAAGGCTTCCCTGCCCATGGCAGAGGGGTTGGAACTGGGTGTCTCTAGGGTCCCTTCCAACCCAAACCATTCTATGATTCTATTAAAGATATTAAAACAGAATCAAACTGCATCAAATAAGGCACATACAAACTGTTGAATACAACACAGAAAACAAAAAGGAATTTTCATGAAGTCACAAACAGGACAACCTATACTTTCCTGTCTACTCAAACCCAACGCTCAAAAACTCATGCCTTCTTGCATTAGCTCTGAGGAACTGGCCTACAGCATGATAAGAAAAACACTCCAAAGATTCCAGTTTAAGCGACTGTCCTCTAAAACAGAGCACTTCAGAAGAAACAGCTCTCACGTGGAGATGCAAAAGCAAACCTTTTACTCCCTTAAAACAAAGGTATATGGCAGACAGGTCCAAGCAACATTTTTTTTCCTCCTCAGAACATGGTATTGCCTGTTATCGTTCACAAAAGCAGAAAATAAATTCTCTGAGCAACAATTCCCAATGATACACTTCAGCTGCAAGGGCCTTGTCAGTGTCCTAAAAGTTTAGAAGACAACGTGATTCTGCCTTGACCTCAAGCACCACCTGAAAAGCGAGACTTACTCTCATTTTGAAGCGTGTTAATGGCATCATCCACAATACAGTCTGGGGAAAATCCTGCAGTCTTCGACAGCAAGCCCAGCAAGGAAGCAATCTTCAGTCTTACAGAGGCATCATTCTCCTGGAAGGAAACGGCAGAGATCCTCATTCATTTTCCAGTTTGAAGAGTGTAAACCACCACAGACAGGTAGGACTCGCACATGATTCAGCACAAGGGTCTGAACTTTACTGTCAGGCAACTGGGGAACAACGGACCCCACCCCCCTGCCGAAGCAGGGTCACCCAGAGCAGGCTGCACAGGACCTCATCCAGCCGAGGTCTAAATATCTCCAGAGAAGGAGACTCCACAACCTCCCTGGGCAGCCTGTTCCAGCGCTCTGTCACCCTCAGAGTGAAGAAGTTCTTCCTCATGTTCAGCTGAGGAACGTGGCAGCTTCAGGTACATTTCAAAATGATTCTTTTACTCATAACTCCTCAAAATTACCTTCATGTTGTTCGAAAATTTAAAGTTTAAATGATGCGGTTTTCAAGATGCTGGATAATTCACTGTTGATAATGTTTGTATCTTTGCAATTTTTAACGAACAAATCGGATGATTCTACAAGGTGAACTGAGACTGATGGTCCCTTGACCTCTGCTAAGCAGCAGGGTCTGTGGGCTGCAGAAAACAACTGTTTCTCTTAACGGTGGAGAGAAACCCTGCCAATCTGATAGCAAGAAAGAAACAAGCAAACATAGCAAGGTTAAAAAAAAAAATACAACAACACATCTGCTCATTTAAGCAACAGGAAAAGCTGTCACAGGTGATAATTATGTAAATAAGCTTCAGAAATCAGTATGGGTTTCAAATTCATTTTAAAAGTTCATCTGTTTTTTTAAGAGTTTTGAGTCTTCTACAGACTCGTGCATGCAAGACTTCTGGTCATAACTGGAAGCTCTCTCTTTCATCGGACTGCCAAGGATATCCAATACAGGGTAGAAAGGCAAAAAGAAGTCTGGATTTCATCCTTAGCTCTGACCAAGCAACTGTGCTACGCTGAACACAGAGGTGCAGTAATATCACAATTACAAATATTACACCTTTCAATGGGTGCAGAAATGTCACGGTTAGAACTTTCACGTCTTTAAACTTTCCGGTTTTTCAACAGGGTACAGGAGAGGCCCCAGTGTCCCCCCCCCCCCCCCCCAAGTGACAAATACAACATCCGTGGAAGCAATCTCTTTCTCAATGGAACTGAGAAGCATTTTCTCTTCTCAGGGTCGAAATTATGTGCTTGAACAACAGTTACTGTCGCTGGACCACTTACACCAGTGGCAGGACGCACAGATCTCCATCTCCATATCGTTACTCACATTCTTTTAAGAAAAGAACAGCCCTCTCCACAAGTACAGATGAAATCGGCAATTTAAAAATGGACACTGATAAAGGCACTTTTAAAAGCCCAAGGAATGATGTCTGCCACGTCACCATTACCAAGTTACGAGCAGCCTCCAGCCCCAGAGGGCATTTTCTCCCTCCCTCTACTGGTTTGTGAGCGGGCAATTAGAGAGAGTTCTCCCTGCAGTTTGCAGGTCTGATCACCATCTCCAGGACCAGAACACCAGTAGGCGCAGGTGCCTCCAACCCCTCATCCCAACCACCCTCAGGAACCGGGAAGGGACCTTCAGGATGGCCTCAGGCCACTGACAGCAACACCAGCTTGCAGCACCCTGTCCCCCCGGCTTTCCCCCCCCAGATTGCCACACGCTCCCTGCTCAGCTGCGTCGATTCAGCTGTCAGCAGGGCCATGGGAGCTACGGGTGGGAAAATGAAGAAAGAAGGAAAAGCCAGATTATTTTTCTGCTCTATTTCAGAGGCCATCAGGACTGTCTGGGGACTGTGTATAATAATATGAAGGGATGAAGGAGCAGGAGGCTCCAGCACTGCCTTAAATAACACAATGCCACCACAAACAAATACATCATCACACAACTTCCACAGCAGCTACAGCTTTCAGGGTTAGGGTTCTGAAAGATCAGTTCAAGTGCAAGTTTTCTGGAGACACCACGAAACCAGTTCTTCAGAAATTTTTGTCCTTAAGTAAAATAATGTCAGCAACAGGACTGCAATGCTTTTTAAAAGCTGGTTTCTGTAACGGGCTGAAAATGTGACCTCATCTGTAGATTTAAGAGTCTCTCTTCTAATACAGGCAACAAAACAAACCTCAGACAAATAATTTCTGGTTCCAGATCAAATAATACATGTTTCTTCACAGAAAAAAAAAAAAAGTTCCTGAAGAACCTATTAAGACAGAAAATAGGTTCCTTAAGCTGTACACTCTTTTGAGTGGAGATGGAAATAAGCTGCCATCAAAAATGTGAAACTTTTGTCTCAACACACAAGCCAAAGTACAGAAACAGACAAAATGCAGCTCAGAGCTTTAGTGTAAGTTCAAAGCAAAACAGACCCAATTGTAAAAGAAAGACAGAATAGCACAAAGACATCTATAACAAATACTTCAGTCAACAGTACGGCTTTGTCAGACGCAGCAAAGTTTCCTTTACCAAGTGAAGGACCAATACATGGGTACTACAAAGCATGTATTACTTCTATTATTTGTTTGTTATTCTGCTGTTAAGAATTTTTTGTTGAAAGTCTTTTTTCAGAAGTGTCATTTTAAAACTGCTGTTTGCAGCATAAGCAATAGCTAAAAAGTTTCTCCACTGCTAGAGGAAATTAAGAGCAAGGTAAGGAAACACCAGTCAGGAAGGGCTCAGATAAAGCTGAGCAAGCTTTGGACAGCTGGGTTGTCTGGAAAACTTGTCACATCTTTGTCCCTTCTTAAGTTAATGTAAGACTAATAACACAGGCCATCTATAGGGATAACAGAGTCACATCCCTGTCACCGGCTCCTGAAACCATCAGCGAAGGATCCAAGCAACATGATCAGAAATCACTCAGGTAAAGGACTGCAGCCCCTCACCCTCCTCACACCAGGCTTCCAACAGCCCAGGCTCCTGGCAACCGAGTCAGGACTAGGAGCCTGTGACTCTCTGTTCCACATCCAACCCCAAGAAAACAAGACCAGAAGGATGATTCTGGAACTGAAAGAACAAGGGGTAATGGTTTTAAACTAAGAGGAGAGATTTAGACTGGAGACAAGGAAGAAATTTTTTACCATGAGGGTGGTGAAACACTGGAACAGGTTGCCCAGAGAGGTGTTCGATGTCCCATCCCTGGAAACATTCCAGGTCAGGTTGGATGGGGCTCTGAGCAACCTGATCCAGTTCAAGATGTCTCTGCTCATGGCAGGGTGGTTGGGCTAGATGGCCTCTAAAGGTCCCTTTCAACCCAAACCGTCCTATGTTCTTATGACTCCAAGAACGCTTAGCTCCCAGCTTCATCACCTTGTAATAATGCTCCAGCAGGATCCTGACGACCCCTTCCACGCTCTCCACCTCCACAGGCTTCCTGGCAAACTGGAGCAGGTACTGCAAGGCATCTGCGGGCGAGGTGGCTTTGCACAGGTCAACATGAAGCGCCGCCGACTTGCTGGGCTTGGTCAGCCGCAGCTTCTTAGCGGACAGGTCCTCATGCTGCTGCTGGGGGCAGAGAAATGGTTCAGAAACACAGGGCAAATCTTGATCCACTCCTTCCCAGAGCAAACACGGTCTCAGCACCAAGCCCGAGGAAGCCCTTGTGCCCCACAGACCAGTGGGTCTCTCAGGCAGGAACAGGTCCCCAGCCCCTTGGGCCACTCCCACCCTGCCCCGGTAGCCCCTGTCCCTGGGAAACCCCAGCTTGGGGCAAACCCTGCCCCTTCCAACCCCAGACAACCAGCCCAGAGGCAAAC